TAGCCATAGCCATAGCCATAGCCATAGCCATAGCCATAGCCATAGCCATAGCCATAGCCATAGCCATCACTGTCTTAGGAGAAGGCTGTCTGGGAAAGTTCTTGTAACATAGGTGGTAGACAATAAAGTTACTGACTTTGTTGTGCCTGGCGCATCCTTTTCTTCTGGGTGGGCAGCTGGAGATGGAGGGAGGGCAGCTTCCTGCTAAGTCTGAACCCAAATTTAGGCTCCTGGCAACATTGCCGCCTGAAACTGGGATTAAAGACGCCTTTGTCTTCACATTTTTCATAGGTCGATATTTTTTGGGAGGAGCTGGCAGCTTCTTTGCAAGGACTCATCTTCCACGCTCAAAATCTCTGTGCCTCAGAGACCCAAGACCCCCAGCGGGTCTACGTGGTGAAGACAAATGGTAAGGACCAAAGAAGAGAAATGGTCCATATTCTCTCTGCTTCAGATTTCCCCTCTGGTTTCATCGCCAACTCTTGGCCTCCAAACCTTCAACGCGAACAGCTTTCAAACCCCTTTGGAAAAGACTTTGCTGCCCTAACAGGAAAGAAGACAGGATGTCCTGATTCGTAATTAATCTGACTTTAATAATGTCATTATTGCTTGAAGGGAATACAGTAAACCTAGTTTGGCTACATGATTTGTTTCTGAAGTTTCACTCAAACAAAGCGGTGGTGAAATTCGAAAATGTTCCCTACCGGTTCTGTGGGTGTGGCTTGGTGGTCATGTGATGGGAGGGCGTGGCTGCACAACGGACTCACACACACACTGCAAAAGCAGCTGGGCCTCACACAAAATGTCCCCTGCACCAAACAGGAACATCACAGAGTCACAAAGAGCTCGAAAACCAACTATCACACCGTACACACAAATAACACAAAAGCAGCTACACTGACTCACACACAATGCAAAACCAGCTGCACTTCACACAAAATGCACCAAGCGGCAACCTCACAGACAATCAGGCACAGCTGATTGTTGCAACAGCTGATCATCGGAATGTTTTTGTTTACTTTTCTAAGCATTTTTTTCCCTACCGATTCGGGCAAACCAGCATTTCACCCCTGACCCAAAGCCTTGCCACACCAGAGAGCAAAGAGGGGGCTGGAACACGGACTCCGGTTAAGAGGTTGTGGGGCTGACCAATTCCTTCCCCATCGTTACAGGAAGAGGATTTATAGGTGTGAACGATCCCGAACCGGAAGCATTGCAACATCTCTTTGCCACACAAACCCAGATCCCACCAGCTTCCCCAAATGAATTGTGGAATGCAAAGTCCTGGGAGATTTCATGTACGTAAACATCAGGTTTCCATCCTTGTGCGTGTTTACATCAGCAATCATGTGTGGAAGGGGTGTGAGTGAGTGAGTGAGAGAGAGAGAGAGAGAGAGAGAGAGAGAGAGAGAGAGGAGAGAGAGAGAGAGAAGTGGTGATGAGCCACGATGGTGCAGTGGTTAGAGGGAAGTACTGCAGGCTCCTTCTGCTGGCTGCCAGCTGCCTTCACTTTAGCAGTTCAAATCTCACCAGGCTCAAGGTTGACTCAGCCTTCCGTCCTTCCGAGGTGGGTAAAATAAGGATCCAGATTTTGGGGAGCAAGAGGCTGACTCTGTAAACCACTTAGAGAGGGCTATAAAAAGCACTGTGAAGCAGTATATAAATCTAAGTGCTATTGCTAGTCCTTCCTTCCTCCCCCTCTCTCTCTCCTTCCTTCCTTCCTTCCTTCCTTCCTTCCTTCCTTCCTTCCTTCCTTCCTTCCTTCCTTCCTTCCTAGTGGTATATACCATATTTTTCACTCCATAAGAAGATCCCGACTATAAGACGCACCTGGGTTTAGAAGAGGAAAACAAGAAAAAAAATCTACCTCTGCCTCCCAGCGGCCTCATCTGGCTGGCATCCTTGCAGCAAACAGCCTGCCTCCTCCATGTCTTCTGCCTCCGCCGGGGAATACTGGAGCCTTCGCCATCGAGCAGCTGATTGGCAGTTGGATTGGCCTCCAGGAATACCGCCGATCAGCTGTTCCAGGCAGCAGGAATTGCTGCCACTGTTCACCACTGCTGCCTGTTGCCCATATTCCACTACATAAGACACACAGACATTTCCACCCACTTGTGGGGGGGATGTGCATCTTATGGAGCGAAAAATACTGTAATTCTAAGTGCTATTGTTATTTTTATTGCTATTAGGAGGGCCGTGGAGGCTTCACATTGCCTCTCCCTACCATGGAATTGGCCATTGATGCTCCTTATCAAATGTTATCTCCCAGGGGTTGTTCTTGTTGTTGTTGTTCATTCAGGGATTTCGGCCAAAGGTGGTTTTCGATTTTCCCAGCCAGAACCTGCCAATGCTACACCGAAGAGCACGTTAACCGGCATCCTTAACCCAACGGTCTGCCTCAAAATGCACGAGATTCTCATGTTCGTTGTTTCTAAAGAGCATTACCCTGTTTACGATGTGTAAGTACAATACTGGACCCCCGCGAGGTGTGTCTTCCTACCTCCAACTGTGGGTCCCGCTGATTTTCAATGCTTTGCAGTGAGAAGCGTGCGGCCACTGAGCCATTTTCCTGTGCTATTTTTTTTTAAAGAAAATGGCGAAAGAGAAAGTTCAACCACGTTTGCTAAATTCGCCTAACAGTTTCTAAAATAAGTCATGGCACGCTCAATGTCAGATTCTCAGCTTCCCGTTTCTAAACCTGTGGGCTTTTTCAACTTCCGCGGAGTAGAAGACTTTATTTATTTATGAGATTTATATGCCACCCACCTCACTGGTCTTTTATATGCTGTTCAACCCTCCTCGTATCCTGGTCAGTGGTGGGATTCAGCAGGTTCTGACCAGTTCTGGAGAACCGGTAGCGGAAATTTTGAGTAGCTCAGAGAACCAGTAAATACCACCTCTGGCTGGCCCCGCCCCCATCTATTCTCTGCCTCCCAAGTCCCAGCTGATTGGGAGGGAATGGGGATTTTGCAGTATCCTTCCCCCAGGAGTGGGAAGGCAATGGGGATTTTGCAGTATCCTTTCCCTGGAGAGGGGAGGGAATGGGGATTTTGCAGTATCCTTTCCCTGGAGTGGGGAGGGAATGAAGAATAGAATGGATCTAAAGCCACCCGTTGTGTTTTGTTCCATTGATTGATTGTCATTCTTGGGTGGAATTGCAGATGAAACATTAGAGCGAAGACTTTTTGGGATGGAGTTCATGCTACACAACTGGTGCCTTTTGTCTTGTGTTTCTTCCTAGCAATAATTTATACAATACAAACCAAGATTTTGACTGGGGCTCTTTCCGCAAACTCGCAGAGGAAATGCAATTGGCTTCCAGCTCAACCAGCTTTTCCTTCTTCCTACACCAGTTCAACAGTCCCGGCACTTACGTCTTGAGGCTGAGTAGCAATCAGCACAAAAAAATGGTGGGTTTTGGGTCCCAGCAGGTTTTGGGATGCATGGATGGATAAATAGATGGGTGGGTGGGTGGATGCATGGATGGATAGAGATAGATAGATGATGGAAATAGGATAAGTAAATAGATACTGTAGATGGATAGAGGATAGAGGACAGATTGATAGAGATGATAGATGGATAGATGGATAGATGGATAGATGGATAGATGGATGGATGGATGGATGGATGGATGGATGGATGGATGGATGGATGGATGGATGGATAGATAGATAGATAGATAGATAGATAGATA